GTGCTTGCCTTGCATGCCTGAGGCCCTGGGTTCAATTCCTCAGCACCACATAAGCAAAAAGAAAAAAGCCGGAAGTGGCGCTGGGGCTCAATTGGTAGAGCGCTAGCCTTGAGCTGAAGATCTGAGGGACAGCGCCCAGCCCAGAGTTCAGGCCCCATGACCGGACCCAAAAAAAAAAAAAAATATCGTAGTTAGAATAGTAAGCATATCATCCAGATAAACTTGGTTAGCAGTGACTCCTGTGAAGATAAGAATCTTACTGTGTTTCCCAGACTAGTCTCAAACATGAAATCCTTATGCCGAGTTCCAGGTAACTGAGATTACAGGCGTGTACCAATGTGTCATCTAGTAGTGACTTTTTAAGTAGTTTTGTCATTTTCCACCATCAGATACTTCAGGACTGAAGGTGTAAGATCATTAATAGTGTTTGATAGCATATATGAGGCTCTGAGTTTGATCCCCGGAATTTCAAAATAAATGAATGGTAATTATAAAAATTGAAAGGTATTTCAGGACACTTCCCAATGACAGTATTTTTTTAAACCTAAAGTTTGAAGTCTAATCCTTGAACTCTGAGCAGTTTAGTGCATTTATTATTTATTTATTAAGGCTATTCTCGTTTTGTAGGGTATCAGTTAGCAGAGCAATCAAGCCTTTTGCAGAACCTGGCCGCCCTCCAGACTGGTTCTCTCAAAAAGTAAGTTACGGGGCTGGGAATGTAGCTTAGTGGTAGAGTGCTTGCCTAGCTTGCATGAAGCCCTGGGTTCAATTCCTCAGTACCACATAAACAAAAAACCAGAAGTGGTGTTGTGGCTCAAGTGATAGAATGCTAGCCTAGAGCACAGAGAGGCTCAAGGGCAGTGCCCAGGCTCTGAGTTCAAGCTCCAGGATCGGCCCCCCCCCCAAAAAAAAAAAAGTTACCAAGCAAGTGCTCTTTTTTTCCAAGTTTGCTAAATTTTTAATTTTTTAATTTTTTTAGGTAGTTGTACGGAGGGATTTCAATTCAACATGCTATTTTAAAATTTTTTATTTTATTTATTTATTTTTTTGGTCACAGGGCTTGAACTCAGGGCCTAGGCTCTGTCCCTGAGCTCTTTTTGCTCAAGGCTAATGTTCTCTTTCACTTTTAGCCATAGCTCCACTTCTGGTTTTTGAGTGATTATTTGGAGATAAGAGTCTCATGGGGACTTTTCTACCTGGGCTAGCTTTGAACTGTGATCCTCAGATCTCAGTCTCCTGAATAGCTAGGGTTTACAGGCATGAGCCTCCAGCACCTGGTAATATAATACATCTTAATCAGGGTTATCTTTCATCATTACCACCTCAGTGCTACTTTATAGTCATTGAGATGTTAATTCAGTTCCCTAACCAGATTCTGTCTTATTCTTATTCAATGATGGCAGAATAGTTGAAGATATTTTTTTCCTTTTACAAACTCTTCTTGTGGTCTTAAGGGCCTTGCACCCTTCGATAGGGGCTAGCACTCTGCCACTTAAGCCATACCTCCAGTTCCAGCTTTTTTGCTGGTTAATTGAAGATAGAATCTCTGGGACTTTTCTGCCTGCGCTAGCTTCAAACCTTGATCATCAGATCTCAACTTCTTGAGTAGCCATTTTAAGTGTAAGCCACTTGCACCCAGCTTTTTTTTTTTCTTTTTTGTTGTGAAACAGGATCTCATTTTGTAACCCAGAGATTCTTGCATCAGTTTTCCTAAGTGCTATGAGTACAGACATGTATAACCATATTCAGTTTACAAACTCTTCTTCTCAGTGTGGTATAATAGTTAAGAGCCCAAGCTTGGGAGTTACACAGTTCTGGGTCATACATAGTTCTGGAACATCATACGTAGTTTTCTAGTTTATAAAGTAGAGATAAGTTAGGATTGTTGTAACATTAGTTGAGGTAAGAGATATCAAACATATAGCACAGTGCCTTGCTAGTAAATATTAGCCATAAATATATTATTAGGTTGATGCCTCAAATACACAAACACTACTCCAGAAGACATAGTTGTATCTTTCTGTTACTTTAATCTGATTAAATGTAAAGTAATTCTCTCTCTTGAGAAACAAACACATCTTGAAGGTAGCTCTCTTCACTAAATCTTTATTTAATCTATTTAAATGCTTAATCTTTCCAGGCTTGCTTATCAAATTTTTACTTTTTTCCATAGCATTGTGCTTCTCAATACTCTGAACTCTTGGAGACCACTGAGACCCCAAAGTGAGTATAGAGTGAGGTATTACAGTCAAATGTCTTTAATAAAATGGCTTACATTGGAAACCTGGATTATAGATATAGCAGTTTTCTGTGGTTAAGTGACAAAGAAGGCTTGTGAGTAGGAACAAGTATTTTCTTACTCAGATTTTTTTCTTATTTTCTATAGACGGAAACGGGGTGAGAAAGGCGAAGTGGTGGAAACTGTTGAAGATGTTATTGTTCGGAAACTGACTGCTGAAAGAGTTGAGGAACTAAAGAAAGTGATAAAGGAAACCCAAGAGAAATACAGGTACTTACAAGAGCATATCAAATGCTTGTGAAAGACAGAAGTGTCTGACTTCTGGTATTGATCACAGCTCACAAATCAGCAGATTAAAAAAAAATAAAACAGAGGGTTGGAATGTGCCTTAGTGGTAGAATACTTGCCTAGCATGTATAAAGCCCTGGGTTTGATTCCTCAGTACTGCATAAACAGAAAGGCTGAAAGTGGTACTGTGGCTCAAGTAGTAGAGTGTTAGCCCTGAGTAAAAGAAGCTCAGGAACAGTACCAGGCCCCAGGACTTGCAAAAAAAAACCCAAAACAAAACAAAAAAATTACTTGAGTCCATGAGTTTAGGCCAGGCTGGGCAACATAAAGAAAAAAATCCTCAATCTCTACCTCTTCCTACAGACGGCTGAAAAGAGATGCAGAACTAATTCAAGCTGGGCATATGGATAATCGACTAGATGAGCTTTGCAATGACATTGCAATGTGAGTTCTATCTATACTCTTTTCTCATTCCCTCAAGTAATGTAGTTTATTACCTCTATCCACCATCCATTTAGACTTGAAATAGGAAAAGATACAGAGAGGTCTGGTGGCTTGGGAAGAAGGAGTGATACTTAGATGTGATAGAACATTTCAGTATGAGACCATAACTATTCTGTTTTACCTGAGTAGAAAACTGGGAGCTGCTAAACCCCCCAGTTCCTATTTTGCTGGTTATAATTCCTATTTAGGCCTTTTCTCTGGAAAGTAATTATCTGAGGGGGAAAAGCATCTGCCATGAAGGTATTGTGAACTATAGATAAGAAAAGCTGACTAGGTTTAACCCTTAATTCCCTTTTTAGGAAAAAGAAACTAGAGGAAGAAGAGGCTGAAATAAAGAGGAAGGCAACAGATGCTGCATACCAAGGTAATCTGAATTCTGCCTATTTAGTAAATTGCTTGCTCATGACTGCATGCTGATGATAGTTGAAGTACTGTTTTGTAAGGTAGTAGCCAATAGTTAAATTTTCTTTCATGGCCTCCTCTTTTTTTTCTTCCCCCATTTAGGCATTCTAGTCCACTGGTATGATTACAAAGTTACCAGAAAACAATACTGTCAGAGTTATAATTTTCTTTGCATGTACCTTCTGTATGCCTCATGGTCACCCAGCACCCAAGCCCTGAGTACCAGCACCAAAAGAAAAGGAAAAGAAAAAAGACTTCTATAATCTTCTTTCACAATTGAAATATCCTTTAATGTCAAGGAAACAGCTCCTAGAAAATGAGCTCTTAGGATACAGAGGCTTAATAATAAGATATGAAACATAGGTTTTGAAAGTCAAAAGAGCTGCACACAGGTGGCTCACGCCTGTAATACTAGCTACTCAGGAGGCTGAGGTGAGGATTACTATTCGAAGCCAGCCTGGGCAGAAAAGTACCTGTGAGACTCTTATCTCCAATTAACCACTAAAATCCCTAAGTGGTGCTGTGGCTCAAGTGGTAGAACATTAGTTTTAAGCACAAAGAGGCTTAGGGACAGCACCCAGGCCCTGAGTTCAAGCCCCACAAAAGTCAAAGGATTTTAGAGGTGGAAAGATTGGGAAAAGAGCAGTTATTTGACAAGGGGAGCTTTTGCCAACTACAAGCAGTGAACCTCTGAAGTATGTCTTTTGTTTTGTGTGGATGCTGGGGCTTGAAGGACACTTCCATGAGTTTTTTGTTCTCTACCACTTGAGCCACAGTTCCACTTTCCACTTCTTGTTGGTTACATTGGAGGTAAGATTATTAGCTGTTTAGCTGACCTTGAATCATAATCTTCAGTTCTTGGCCTTCTGAGTAGTTAGAATTACTGGCAAGAACCACTAGAGTTTGAACTCAGGATCTTTGCCTGCTAGCAATTGATAGATGCTTTACCACTTGAGCCATGCTCATAGCTCTTAAAAACCAAAACTTAAGTTATTGAAGAAAATGGGGTGGGGGGCGGTCTGGAAATGTGGTTTAGTGGTAAGAGTACTTGCCTAGCATTCATGAAGCCCTGGGTTCAATTCCTCAGTACCACATAAACAGAAAATGCCAGAAATGGTGCTGTGGCTCAAGTGGTAGAGTAATAGCAAGAAAGAAGAAAATGTGTGTGTGTGGGTGCACTCATGTGCTTGTGTGTTCCTGTGCTGGGGCTTAAACTTCAGAGTTTGGGCTCTTGGTTGGTGTTTTTGTCCAAAGCTGATGCTCTACCACTTGGAGCCAGAGAATACATACTACTCTGAGAATCTTTAGGATAATTAGGTTGCTTAATGAGAACTACCTTAAGACAGACTGGGCTAAGAAGGAAAAACCATCAATGCCAGGCACTGGTGGCTCAAGCCTGGAATCCTAGCTACTTAGGAGGCTGAGATCTGAGGATCATGATTCAAAGCCAGCCAAAGTCTGTGTGACTATTATCTCCATTTAACCACAAAAAAAGCAGAAAGTGGACCTGTGGCTCAGGTGATAGAGCACTAGCAAAAAAACGTGATGAGCTTGAGAAAACTGCTCAAGGAAAGTGCTTAGCCCCCAGTTCAAGCCCCAGTACCAGCACAAAAACAGCAAAAATAATTCATCTTCAAAAGTATTAAAGATTTCAAATTCAAACTTATAATAGTTCATTATAATATATATATATATATACACACAATATATATAATGTACATAGTATATAATATATAATAATATGTTATAATTGTTCATTATAATACAACAGCCTCTGTGTCTGGTTTTTCTTTTTTTTTTGTACTGGGTTACCGTTTTAGCCAGCCATTTTTGTCTAGTTCATTTTCAGATGGCATCTCAAGTTTTTTGTTTTGTTTTGTTTTTAATCTGAGCTGAGTTTTTGCTGGGGCAGACATGGGATGGAGATCCTCCTACCTATCTGCTATGTAGCTGGATTAGGAATAGGCTACCATGTTCTGATTATTTACTCTGGAGTATTTAGACTGTTCTTTTTTTGTGTTCTAGCCCGGCAAGCAGTAAAAACACCCCCTCGGAGGTTACCTACTGTGATGGTCCGCTCTCCTATAGATTCTGCCTCCCCAGGAGGTGATTATCCACTTGGAGACTTGACCCCAACCACGATGGAAGAGGCTACCTCTGGGGTGAGTATATTTCCATCCATTGAAATTGATCTCTGAAGGGGCAATAAGTCAACTGAGAGCTGAGTAATGAGGAAAACACTTTTTGTCTAGAAACAATTTTTTCTCTTGATCTCAATGCTAAAGACTAAACTTACCATGTACTCTGTTTATATATATATAAGATAAATATGGACCATTTAAAAGCATGAAGGCTTTTGACCTTTTGAGAGATAGGTGAAACTCTTCAGAAATTTATTAGCTAAATACACTAGTCTTTAAAAAAGTCCTACTAGAGTGAGGTTCAGTTCTTTATAAATAAGAGTGATAGTGGGTAAGGAGATTGTTAGTGGCAAGTGGATGGAATCTGTTTGGGTTCTTGTAAATCAGAGTGGGTGGAAGGAAAAATATTGTGGGGAAGAGAGCAGGAGGGTTAGAGGGTTTCTGGGCATATCTACTCAGAACTAATAAAATAATAGCCACACTAACCCATCCAGATTATTAGGGAACCTTCCATAGTTTGAGAAGTCAGATAAAGGTTCTCTGTTGTCTCTTAGGTAACCCCTGGGACTTTGCCGAGTACCCCAGTCACCTCGTTTCCTGGGATTCCTGACACCCTTCCTCCAGGCTCTGCACCCTTAGAAGCCCCCATGACCCCAGTAACAGATGATTCACCCCAGAAAAAGATGCTTGGACAGAAAGCAACTCCACCCCCCTCCCCTCTGCTGTCAGAGCTCTTGAAGAAGGGCAGCCTCCTGCCTACTAGCCCCAGACTGGTATGGAGACTTCTGTGGGTGTTTGAGAGCTGTAGTTTTAGTACTTGGAAGGGAGTGCCTGGGACTTAAATGTTAATTTAAAAAAAAACAATAGTAATAAAGTAAGTTGTTCATGTCCTTGGGTCCTGAGGTATCTGAACCATGATTATTTTGGTTTTCTTCCCTAGAGAACACTTGTCAAATGAGTTCTGAACATTATAGTTTAGAGTTTCCCCTGGATCCTAAATTATTCTCTGTAGATAGTAGATTTAGTTTCAAGAAGTTTGATTGACTGCTGTAGCTTTTTTGGGAAGCAGCAATGAAAGAAAGCTTGAGTGTAGCCTTCACTTCTATTCTTCCCTGGTAGGTCAATGAAAGTGAAATGGCTGTCGCTTCTAGTCACCTGAACAGTACGGGTGTCCTCCTGGAGGTAGGCGGGGTCCTTCCCATGATACATGGTGGGGAGATACAGCAAACACCCAATACTGTTGCAGCCTCCCCTGCTGCCTCAGGTAAGTCACTACTCTTCCTTTATCTACTTGAGAGATGTAACATTTGGTTTCGATGTTTGTTATAAAAGAAAGTTAATCTTAGATTTAAAGCCCAGTTTCCTTTTCAGTTTTGTAGCTGCTTTGTTAAACAACATAGTATTCAAGATTATTAATCTAGTCTGTCTTCAAAGTATTGATAGCCCTGATTGTTGATGAGAGGAATAGTAAAGTTGATAATGAAGTTGCTTTTCTGTGGCTTATGAATTTGTAGAATGATAGATACCTAAGATTATTTTAGGGAAAGACATTTAAAACCAGAGGTCTGGGCTTGAATCTCAGGCCTGCTACTTGTTAGTTTTGTGACCTTAGATAGGTAACTTAACCATTGAAACTCAATTTCCTGTTTTATTACTTCACAGAGATGTGGTGAGAACTAAATGAAGTAGAAAATTTTTAAAGTATAAAATAACTTTACAGGCCAGTGCCAGTTGTTTGTGCCTGTAATTCTAGCTACTCCCATAGGCTGATATCTGAGGATCACTGTTCAGAGCGAGCCCAGGTAGGAAAATTCATGAGACTCTTATCTCCACTAAACTATCCAAAAGCTGGAAGTGGAGTTATGGCTCAACGGTAGAATGCTAGTCTTGAGCAAAAAAGCTCAGGAGTGCCAGGCACCAGTGGCTCACACCTGTAATTCTGGCTGTTCAGGGGGCCAGGATCTGAGGATTGTGGTTTGAAGCCAACCTGGGCAGAAAAGACCCTATGAGACTCCAATTAACCACTCAAAAACCAGAAGTGGTACTATAGCTTAAGTGGGAGAACGCTGGTCTTGAGTATAAAGCGATTCAGGGACAGCCTCCAGGCCCTGAGTTCAAGCCTCAGAACTGGCATATGCAAAATACCATACTAACATAGTACATTGGCACTGAATATTGTTGAACCTGAAAGGTTTATAGCATGCTGAACCTAAGCAGAAGTGACAGATTTCATACCAGTTTTCTGTACTACTGAAATTTTTAATAGAACTCAGGGTTTTGCACTTGTAGGCAGGCACTCTTAATGATGAGCCATGCCTACTGTCCTTTTATTTGGAGGACACTTTTTTTTTAAATCATGTTAGTACTCAGGACCTTGTACTCTGCTTAGCTTTTTATTTGAGACTGGGAAACAAACAGTATCTGACATTTGCTTATTGGCTGGCACTCTACCATTTGCTCAGCTTTCATGTTCATGGCTTATACTTTACCACTTGTGCTACAACTTCCATACTTGCTAATATTTTTGAAATAGGCTTTACTTTCTGTTCAGGCATTTATTTGGCTTCCTTGTCATAGCTGGGATAACTGTGGGATAGCTGTGCCACCTCACCTAGCTCACAGTTTTGCAAATTTCTGCTTGAGCTGGCATCAGTCTGAGAGCCTCCCAATATCAGCCTCCTAAGAAGCTAGGATTACAAGTATGAGTTGCCAGTGCCTGGCCTGTTTGTTTATGTATGTATATGTGTATATATGTTTAGAGTTAATGGTGCCAGTCCTGGGTCTTGAATTTAGGGCCTAGGCATTGTCCTTAAGCTTCTTTGCTCAGAGCTTGTGTTCTATCACTTGAGCCTCAGTTCCACTTCTCACTTTCTGCCTGTGTGTTTAATTGGAGATAAGAGTCTTACAGACTTTCCTGCCTGGGCTGGCTTCAAGCCATCCTCAGACCATAGTTAGGATTATAGGTGTGAATCACCAGTATAGTACCTAGCGGTGTATGCATGGTAGGGGGTGGAGGGGTGCTTGAATTCAGGGCCTTGAACTCTAGCATGACTTTTCAACTTACCGTTTATGCTTTATCACTTGAGCCATACCTCTACTTACAGCTTTTAGCTGGCTAGTTGGAGATAAGAGTCTCATCGACCATTCTGTCTGGGCTAACTTGAACAGTGATTCTCAGATCTCAGCCTCCTAATAGCTAGGATTACAAGTATTTGGCTGGTTTTTGCTTTTTGAGATAGGGTCTGAAGGTCTCAATGTGTACTCCAAGCTAGTCTGAAACTCACTGTGTAGTCCAGACTGGGCTCAAACTCGTGAAATCTTGCCTTAACAAAATCTTTCTGCCTCAGCCTCTTGAATGTCTTGGTTTTTTGTTGTTGTTTTAATTTTGTTATTAATAGTGTTACTAATTTTCCTCTAAGGAAAAATGACCACCTACTTTTGATTTTTTTTTTTTTTTTGGCCAGTCCTGGGTCTTGAACACTTCCCTGAGCTTCTTTTGCTCAAGGCTAGCATTCTACCACTTAATCTTGAGCCACAGTACCACTTCTGGCTTTTTCTGTTTATGTGGTGCTGAGGAATTGAACCCAGGGCTTCATGCATGCTAAGCAAGCACTCTACCACTAAGCCACATTCCCAGCTCTGATACATATTTTTGTGTTGTATTAACTTGGACTAAGATTTTAAGTGAGGGTAAAGGAAGTAAGAACAGGAAGTGGAGCTGTGCCTCAAGTGGTATAGCACTAGCCTTGAGCAAAAGAAGCTCCAGGACAGTACTCAGGCCCTGAGTTCAAGCCCTAGGACTAGAACATACACGCATGCATGCACGGATGCAGCAGCAGCAGCAAATCAGGGATGCACACTGTCTGTCTATGAGCATCATACAAGGCCTGCAATATTATTTAAGACATGATTGACTAGATGTGTGTGTGTGCTTGTTGGCTAGCTGCAGCCACCTGCTTGTCAGGATGTTATGAATATCCAAATGGTCCTTGGGAGAATAAAGGGTTCCCCACTTTGGGAGAGGGTAAGCTTATTCAACACAGGAATTGCTTTCATTCTTTGAAACTATAAAAAAATTCTTGGTTGGGTCTTAAGGCTATTGCTTCTTGTTCATGTGCTTTCTTCTTACCTCATTTTGTGTACCTCTTTGTTAGGTGCTCCTACTCTTTCCCGGCTTTTAGAAGCTGGTCCTACACAGTTCACCACACCTCTTGCTTCCTTCACTACTGTTGCCAGTGAACCTCCAGTTAAACTTGTGCCACCCCCTGTAGAGTCTGTGTCCCAGGCTACAATTGTCATGATGCCTGCGCTGCCAGCACCATCCTCTGCTCCAGCTGTCTCCACTCCTGAAAGTGTAGCTCCAGGTGCGTCCTTTACCCACGCCCTGAGCAGCCACTAGGACCAAAATTTGTATTGTGAGCTTTGGTTAAAGATGTCTAAGAGCATGAACACGATTCAGATGTTTGTATTTCCCACAGACATGTGCCATCTTTAATCTTAGGAAAACAAGGATATGAAAAACAATGATATGGGTGGGCATTGTGTTCTGGGGATGGGGAGAGAGGTTTAACTGTACAAATATGAGCAGGCCTGAGAATGTTCTTACTTTCTAATATAATGGGGGAGAGGAAAACAGGCAGATCTTGACTTTCTGACCTTAACTGTGTAGTCATTGGTTTACAGTTCTGGCGTGATCTTTGAGTTGCCACTTAATACCCTTTAAGTTTCTGAGATGTTTTTCTCTTCCTGTTATTCAGTGAGTCAGCCTGACACCTGTGTTCCCATGGAGGCTGTGGGGGATCCACATACTGTGACTGTTTCCATGGATAGCAATGAAATCTCCATGATAATTAATTCTATCAAAGAAGAGTGTTTCCGATCAGGGGTAGCAGAGGCTCCTGGTGCATCAAAGCCTCCAAGCATAGATGGGAAGGAAGATTTAGATCTGGCCGAGAAGATGGATATTGCTGTGTCTTACACAGGCGAAGAATTGGACTTTGAGACAGTTGGAGACATCATTGCTATCATTGAGGACAAGGTAAGTAAGTCTTTTGATTCTATATAGGCTTCTCTAGGTTTCTTGTGTTTGCTTCTCATAGTAAGAGTTATTTAAACAGCTCTCCTGCTTCTGCCATCTCCATTTCTCTAGTCTAAAAGCTCTTTGGTACTGACATACTTCTTATCTTCCTATAGCATCCCTGTTATTGATTTGCACAGGACGGGTGCCTGTACTACATGGAACAAATGAGGAGAGAGGCTATAGATTAATGTCATTTTATTAAGTGCTAGCAAAATGGAACTTTTTTTTTTCTGTGACCTCAACAATCTTCATATTATGAAACAGGTAGATGATCACCCTGAAGTGCTGGATGTGGCAGCTGTGGAGGCAGCACTGTCATTCTGTGAAGAGAATGATGATCCCCAGTCCCTACCTGGCCCCTGGGAGCACACAATCCAGCAGGAGCGGGACAAGCCAGTACCTCTACCTGCACCAGAGATGACAGTCAAACAAGAGAGACTAGACTTTGAGGAAACAGAAAATAAGAGGATCCATGAACTGGTAGACATCAGGGAGTCAGGTGTTGAGATCAAGGTGGAACCTGCAGAACCAGAGCCAGGCATTTCAGGAACTGAAATCGTTTCTGGGGTTGGTCCAGCCACAAGTATGGAGCCACCAGAACTCAGGAGCCAAGATTTAGATGAAGAACCCAGGAGTATTGCAACTGGAGATATTGCTGAAGCAGATGTTTCCAGTGGAAAAGGCGAGGAGATACCACTCACAACTGTGAAGACAGAGGTATTTAATAAGATAGCCTCATTATTATTGAAGAATAAAAACGGTGAAGGATAAGTTTACCAGTATTTAAGATACTTGTTCTTTGCTGGTCTTCAGGCATCCCCTGAAAGCATGTTGTCCCCATCACATGGCTCAAATCCCATTGAAGACCCTTTAGAAGCAGAGACTCAGCACAAGTTTGAAATGTCAGGTAAATAAAGATCAAGAAATCTATACTCTGTAACTAACTTGATATCATTTGCTTTGGCTTGTGAGGGATTGTGGGTTGTGGGCAAGTAGAGGAGATAGAACAGGTCAGCATGGAAAGGAGAGCTGCAAGGGATTGTGGTCCATAGGAAGGGGAAGGCTAAGGTGGAAAAATCTTCAGGTAGTCTTTCTCTCCTCTGCAGAATCATTGAAAGAAGAATCAGGGACTATTTTTGGAAGCCAGATAAAGGTATTTCAGACTTTTCTTTATTCCTCTTGCCATATGATTAGATTTCCTTATAGCACAACCTTTTTAATATATTTTAGTAAACACATCTTTATTCTTTGAGATGAGATTGTTAAGGATTTGCATGAGGGGAAGCTACAGTGGACAATCTGGCATAGTGGGATTACTAAAGCAATATGTGCTTCCCATCTGAGTTTGAAAGATCATAGTCTTTTCTGTGCATATATTGCACGAAATATAATTGATATACCTAGAATTGTTTAGAGTGAATAGAAATGCAAGGGAGAACACACAGGAAATCACACTAATAATTAAGCTACTAAAAGCAATAATTGACAGACTTAAAAGTAATTCGGTGTGAGCTTGCTCCATCAGATGAGACATGAAATAAAACTATTTTTGGTAACTTTGTACCCAGGGTCAGAGTTCCTCTCAAGAGCAAGGGGAAAGAAGGAACGCCTCTTAGCTTAGTATTAAGTAAGTAGCTTTTTTTTTTTTTTCCCTTCTTCTTAAACAATCCTGGCCTTTATTTGTCCAGGTACTAAATTACCTTACTTAGTGAAAGTCTGAAAGTAGAGGGTAGTACAAAGTCAGAGGGCTTAGCCAAGAAACAGTGTGAGGCAATTTCTAGAACTGATCTAACCCAAAATATAGATCATGTTTAATAGTGCTTTGCTTACATTTATTGACTGTAACACATTATGTCTAAGGATGCCCCAGGTGAGGATGAGGAGGAAGATGGAGTCAGTGAAGCAGCCAGCCTAGAGGAACCTAAGGAAGAAGATCAAGGAGAAGGCTATTTGTCAGAAATGGATAATGAACCCCCTGTGAGTGAGAGTGATGATGGCTTTAGTATACACAATGCTACTCTGCAGTCACATACACTGGCAGACTCCATTCCCAGCAGCCCTGCTTCTTCACAATTGTGAGTATCTGAAATTCATTCTTTGAGGCAAATGCAATGCAGTAAAGGTGAAAAAGTATAGGATCTCTTTTTTTTTTTGGAAGTACTTGGATTTGAACTCAGGACCTCATGTTGGGTAGGTAGGCACTGTAACCACTTAATCCATGCTCCCAGTCTAGAAGAGAATCCCTTCTCTTTCTTGGCCTTGAACAAATAGTTAACCAAAAAAAGAAAAAAGTTTATTTTGAAAAAAGAAAGATGCATCAACTTGTGCTAAGTAGAATTTCTGTATTTTAGCTCTGTCTGCAGCGAAGATCAAGAAGCTATTCAGGCCCAGAAAATCTGGAAGAAAGCTATCATGCTTGTATGGAGAGCTGCAGCTAATCATAGGTAACTAGACTTGCCAGTCAGTATGTTCATTTTCTCCTGCTCCTCTTTGTTAGCTTAGAAAAATGTCAAGTAGATTTCTATGGTCCACAATTTTATGGTGGCTTTCAGTACTTTCAGTTACATAAATTAAGTTCCCTCTATGCTTCTAGAGAATAATTATACCTTACTGGTTTTGGGACAGGTATGCCAATGTCTTCCTACAACCTGTTACAGATGACATAGCACCTGGTTACCACAGCATTGTACAAAGGTAAGGACACATAGTGTAGCATACTGACTTGCCTAAGTTATAAGTTGTTAAGACTTAAGTGAATTTTTGCTTTAAATAGTAGGGTTTTTCTCTTTTTCTGTTGCAGAGGGTTTTGTTGTTTTTGTTGTGTTGTATTTGTGTTTGTTTCTATGTGTGTCCATTCTGATACTGGCTGGGGCTTGAACTCAGGGCCTTGGTGCTGTTCTTTACCTTTTTTGCTCAAGGCTGGAGTCCAACTACTTAAGCCATACCTCTAGTTCCAGTTGTGTGTGTCTGTGTGTGCATGCGTGTGTGTATGTGTGTGCCAGTGCTGGGGCTTGAACTCATGGTTTGTCTACTGTCCATGAGGGTTTTTTTGCTCAAGGCTAGCACTTTGCCACTTGAGCCACTTGCAGCATGAGCATGAGCCCACTAGCACCTTAGTAAGTTTAACATAAGTATTTGTAAGGGTAGTGGTAAACTTACCCAGTTGCTGATAGTCTAAAGAACTTAAGCTCATTTCTTGCTTTTTTCGTTGCTTATTATACACACTGACTTTTTTGTGTTATGTGCATATTTTGGGATGATAGATTGGCATTTGAATCTTGACTGCTGGGACTGAAGGTATATTTGAGAAGATATATATGTATATGCTGATAATATATTTAGAGATCCAGATGGGTCTTTTTTTCTTTCTCCACTGCTATTTTCTCATTCTTTTTTTTTTTAGGCCTATGGATTTATCAACTATTAAGAAAAACATTGAAAATGGGCTAATCCGCAGTACTGCTGAATTCCAGCGTGACATTATGCTGATGTTTCAGAATGCTGTAATGTATAATAGCTCAGACCATGATGTTTATCATATGGCAGTAGAGATGCAGCGAGATGTCTTGGAACAGATTCAGGTACTTTGAGGCTCTTTGTGTTTCTGCAGTGATCTCAAGGGAAGAATTGTATTTTACTTAGAATAAGCATCAGGGACACATGGGGCTGTAATTGTTGCTCAAGTTATTTTGGTTTTTATCTGGTATGGTGAAGTAATTATGATAGAAGATTCTTCTTTTCTTGGGCAAATTCAGTTCCTTAAGGGTTTTGTAGGATTTTTCTTTCATTTAAATTTTCAGTGCTAGGTATCATACCCAGGTTTTTACATGGTTTGGTTTGTGTGTGACTTTGTATGTGTTTGTGTATGTTTGTACTGGTCCTAGGGCTTGAATTCAGGGCCTGTGTGCTATCCCCGAGCTTTTTTGCTCAAAGCTAGTAATGTATCACTTGAACCACAGCTCCATTTCAACTTTTTGGTGGTTAATTAAGAGAGAACAATCTCATGGACTTTCCTACCTGGGCTCTCTTCAAAGTATGAGCCTCAGATCTGAGCTACCTAAGTAGGATTACAGGAATGAGCTACCAATGCCCCTTTTTTTGTTTCATTTGTTTTTCATTTTTGTTTTCCGGGTACCAGGGCTTGAACTCAGGACCTAATGCTTGCTTGGCTTGCTTCCTTGGCTGACACACTTTTAACACTTTCTTTTGGCGGGTACTAGAATTCAGCCAGGCTACTGAACCATATTCCCACTTCTGGTCTTTTGCTGGTTATTTAGAAATATGAGTGTTGGGATTGTTTTGCCTGAGCTGGCTTTTTTTGTTGTTGGTGGTGGTCGTGGGGCTTGAACTCTGGGCTTCGGCGCTGTCTTTGAGCTCTTCAACTCAAAGACGAGCACTCTACCTCTTGAGCTACAGTGCCACTTCTGGTTTTCTGGTGTTTAATTGGAGATAAGAGTCTCCTGGACTTTCCTATCCTGGGCTGGCTTTGACCTGTGATTCTCAGATCTCAGCCTCCTGAGTAGTAACCAGCATTACAGGCATGAGTCACCTGGCTGCAGCTTGTTTTTGAGAGAGTCTCATAGTCCAGCTTTTTTGCTGGTTAATTGGAGATAGAATTTCTCAAACTTTTCTATGGTATGCCTGTTGCATTTAAGTAGAAAAGTACTAAATAAAACTCTATTCAGAAACTTTAGTATTTTAGTGTTTCCCTACTGGACCAATTCTCTGGCTAACCTTGGTTTTCAAACTTGCTTGAGATTTTACCCTCTTGAATAGCTAAGATTATAAGTCTGAGCTATAAGTGCCACACCCAGTTTGGTTTGATTGTATGTTTGTGCAAACACTTTTTGAACTCAGCCTGGACACTGTCCCTGAGCTTCCTTTGCTCAAGTTTAGCACTCTACCACTTGAGCCACACTGCCACTTCCTGCTTTTTCTGTTTATATGGTACTGAGGAATTGAACTCAGGGCTTCATGCATGTTAGACAAGTTCTCTACCACTAAGCCACATTCCCAGCCGGAGATTTTTCATTCAAGGCTAGTGCTGCACTTGAGCTACAGCTCCCCTTCTAGTTTTTTGCTCGTTAATTGGAGATGAAAGTCTCACAAACTTTCTTGTATCACTGATCCTCAGATCTCAGCTTCCTGGAGATCTAGTATTAAATGTGAGCCCAACTCCAGATTGTTTGTTTCGATTTTTGTGCTGGACCTGGGGCTTGAACTCAGGTCTGGATACTATCCCTGAACTTTTTTTGTTCAAGGCCAGTACTCTACCACTTGAGCCACAACTCCAATTCTGGCTTTTGATGGTTAATTGAAGATAGAGTCTCATAGACTTTCCTGTGTAGGCTGGCTTTGAACCTCAATCTTCATATCTCAGCCTCCTGAGTAGCTAGGATTATAGGTGTGAAGCACCAGCACCTGGCTCCAGCTTTTATTTTTTATTTTATTTTTTTGTCTTTTGTGGGGCTTGAACTCTGGGCTTGAGCGCTGTTCCTCAGCCCTTCAGCTCAAGGCTAGCGCTCTACCACTTGAGCTACAGCGCCACTTCCATTTTCTGATAGTTTATTGGAGATAAGAGTTTCACAGACATTTCCTGCCCAGGCTGGCTTTGAACCATGTTCCTCAGATCTCAGCCTTCTGAGTAGCTAGGATTATAGGCGTGAGCCACCAGTGCCCGGCTATTTTTTTTTAATTCATATGTTGCTTGTCTCTTTCACCATGTCTAAGCAAGAACATTCTGTTTTCTTTATTGTGATAATGGAGATTCAACACAGGGCCTCAATATTGGTAGGCAGATGCTCTACAGCTTGAGCCATACCCCTGATATTTTTTTTGTCAGTCGTGGGGCTTGAACTCAGGGCTTGGGCACTATCCCTGAGCTGCGTTTGCTCAAGGCTAGCACTCTAATCCTTGAGCCACAGTGCTACTTCTGGCTTATGTGGTACTGAGGAATTGAACCCAGGACTTCATGTATGCTAGCAAACACTCTACCACTCTACCCAGCTCCCTGCCCCCCCCACCTTTTTTTTTTTTTTTTAATTCAGAGCTTCATACCTACTAAGCAAGTACTCTGACATTTTCCAGTGGACTCATATTTTGCCTATACCACCCTGGACAACTACCTAAGATTCCCATTTATTTGAGATGGCAGGTGCATGCCATCATATGCTTTTTCTTTTTTTTTTTTCTTTTGGGTCCGGTCATGGGGCCTGAACTCTGGGCCTGGGCACTGTCCCTCAGCTCTTCAGCTCAAGGCTAGCGCTCTACCACTTGAGCCA